GTGAGATATGTAAATACATAAGAATTGTATACTACGTATGTAATTCCCTTTTTTTTCTTTCTGTGCAATCATGTCTCTGCTTGACAAATGGGTAAAATGGCATGAGGAAAACTCATGTGGACCACCCTGCTCCCCTCGTGGCTGAATGGGTTTAGCTGATCCAACCGGTTCAGTCCCCTAGGGAGCCCCGCATCACAGTAATTGTTGTGATAGTGTTTTCTCATGTATAGTCATGGAAAGACCTTTCTAAAGTGATTAAATATATGCTTGCATGGTATCTTTTCTTTCTTTTATTTGGGAGTCATTTACATACATAGCACACAATACATATCTCACGCCTAAACTTTCATATTTACCCATACTCAAATCTTTAATTTCACATAAAAGATAACGCTATTTCCACTCTTTAGAAGTAAAATACATTTTTTCATGCGAAGGTTTATAGCACCGAAGTACTATGTATTTAAATATAAAATTTTAGGTGTGAGATATGTAAATACATAAGAATTGTATACTACCTATGTAATTCCCTTTTTTTTTCTTTATGTGCTATCATGTCTCTGCTTGACAAATGGGTAAAATGGCACAAGGAAAACTCATGAATTATGTTGTGGGATTCATCTAGAAATGCCGGAGTATTTAGAGTTTTTTCTTTTTTATTTCTTTTGAAAATTGAAGTCATGGGCTTTATTCCATAGAAATGTTAAGCACTTAAACTTCATTCAATATTAGGGGAAAAATTTTCTCAAATTCTGATTTTTACTTAGATGAGAGGGTAAATTGGTCTTTTGCTTCTACTAAAATATTAGTTTTGCCCCTTCTAAAATATTACTTTGCCCTTGGTTGTCCTAACTCCGCCCCCACCCCCCCCTCCTAAAAACGGGGGGGGGGGGGGGGGGGGGGGGGGGGGGGGGCGCTGATTCTGCCCCTGATATCACTAACCTTTTTTTATGCATTGTTGTGGGATTCATCTAGAAATGCTGGAGTATTTAGAGTTTTTTTTTATTTCTTTTGAAAATTAAAGTCAGGGGCTATATTCCATAGAAATGTTAAGCACTTAAATTTCATTCAATATTAGGGGGGGAAAAAAATCCCCATATAAATATAAGCAGTGGTGATATACTATCTGGATTGTACATTAATTATGATTCTTTACAAGTGTGATCAAAGGCCAAATAATTATTAAATTTAGTAAATTTTGATTTCTGCCTAGCTTGGTTGATGGATATTAACAATGCCGGTCATGATTTTGATTGAGAAATCAACCATGGAAATATACAACACACACATGAATACATGCATATACATACATACATACATACATACATACATATTAGTTATATCATGCATTTTTACACATTTTAGTTTGATTAGTAGTTTCTGCACAGATTTTCAGTCTATTAAAGAGCCAACGTAATTTCCAGAATTTTGCGACGTTCTAATGTTTTTTATTTGATTAATGGTTAGCTTATTCATAGAATGGTTCAATCAATAACCATTTTATTTCCTCAAGAACTTTCATGGCGATTCAAACTAAATAATTCACGCTCTCAATATGGTAATGTAGGACATTGACAAGGAGATCAGCGAGCTGAGGCTATCAGTGAGCACAAGAGGACGTCTAGTGGCTACAGAATTTCTGAAGCAGTTCATCTGACATTTCTTTTTTATAGTTCATATATATATATATATATATATATATTAATAGGGAACATTTTCACAGGAATTCTAATATCATATGGCGATTTTGGCCTGTTTAATATCACAAAAGTAGGCATGTAGATTGCCATATATTTCATTTTAAATAAATTGGGTAGAAATAGTAATATTAAAAATTTGCAATCTCGGGCCTTGGCCCCATTCATTTGTTGCTTGAAGAGATGAGTGCTGCTTTGTAAGACATGCCAAATTTATTTTGAAATTTATGTTTGCTACGAAATGTGTAATGGCTTTTGTTAGTCAAACCATGATGGCCCGTGGGCTGCTAAGTCCATTATTTATGCCAGGCTTGAGTTTTTTTCTTAAGTTTTTTTTAGTATGATTAGATGAATATACTTGATGTAGCGTTTGATATGGGCTTCAATCTGAACCTAATGAGTGGGCGTAAAAATCGGCCAATAGCAAGAAGCTTTAAGAAAATTTAAATTAATTAAGAATTTAATTTTTTTTATTATATTTTTGTATTATTTTGGAAGATTATGTCTAGATTTTATTATTATAGACTTGTATAAAAAGTTAAAAAATTTAAATTTTATTGGACTTCAGGATTTTAAATTATGAGGATGTTTATTTATGATCATGAGAGGTTTGATTGAGTGTGATATCATGCAATTAATTAATTAAATCCATAAGTTAGGGTGGGCCAAGGATTTCAATTATCCTCCTTTTTAACCTTGGCTATCAAAAATTTTTCTGTACGGACTCCTGACGAAGCTCTACGTGCGGCATAGTGTATTCTTCAATTTCATTTTTAGGTTATTTCTGGGTTATTTTCAATAATCTTGAAATAACCCGTGGTCTTTATTTTTGAGTTATTTATGAATTATTTCAGGATTATTAAAAATAATTCAGAAATAACCTGCGTAGAAGTACGTTAGGTGTCTGGACAGAAAATGTGCTTCTTGGCTACACCATCTTCTCTTTGTTCTGCTTACTTTTCTTAATAGCTATAGGGGGTCCTATTTTTGTGAAGCTTTAGTGCTCATAAGCCCTATGCTCAATTTCATATTTCTGCATATCATACACGAAAAGAGAACATTTAGTGCAGAGGAAGAAATCGAGAAATCCATAAACCTTAACCAAACATACCTGAGCAAGAAGACAGAAAATAGAAGAACACACATAAAGTAGAAAGAGGGAAGAAATGCAAGTTTCTTCATACCTCAAATGAAGGAACATTTGGGAATGAGAAGATGGAATAAGGATCCGCCCGTTGAGGTACAACGGAAATAGGACGTGAAATTGCGGAACGTAGCCTCATAATGATGGCTGCAGAACGCTAAAAGCAGGCAGCCGCAACACGAAAAAAAGCCAAGCGAGTGCTACTATAAATAGAGTCACGGCACAGCCTGAATATACACAATAGCTAAAACAATGCCCCCAAACGGAACCTTCGTTTAATATGAAATCATAAAACCTTGAAAGAAGCATCATTTAAAGAGCCAGAAACAACTAGAACTGACCATGCCAGTTCAATAAAGCAAGATGCATTTACATACATACCTCTCAAGTCTCACGTATGTACATATTTAACACCTAAACTTTATGTCTTATATATAAAAATACCCATATCTTTCATATCAAGCAAAGAAATACCACTATTTTTACTTCTAAAAAGTGAAATACAATTATCTAAGCATAAATAAGAGCATATATGTAAAAATTGAAGTTTAGGTGTTAGCTATTTAAATACATTGGAAATGAGTGGAATGTATGCAAAACTTCCTAAAGAAAAATATTTGGATGATTATGGTTAAATAATAAGATAAAATCTTGCCTTACAGAAAGTTCAAAGTCATTATCTATGAAGCCAAAAAAAAAAAGAAAAAAAAAGTTCATTATCTATAAAGCAACGTTCAAAGTCATTATCTATGAAGCCAAAAAAAAAAAAGAAAAAAAAAAGTTCATTATCTATAAAGCAACCCTGCTTACACAGAATAACCATATTTCTTTGATCAACTCAGCTCAATACAGGCTTCAGCTATCTTTCTGCTTCAATATAATCGAAACTGAAGATAACAGCTTCATAAAGCCACTGAAATCTTCCAAATATATAGTCTATTCGTTTATGTGCTATAAAATAAACAAAACCTGGCAAAAAAAAGAAACATTTCTTTCCACCGGTGAGGTAAGATATCACTGTATCATAACTATCTTATTGATATAAAGTCATTTTATAACTCACTGGCAAAGAAGCAAGGAGACTATAAAGCTATAGAAACAAAACTCCACAGCTCTTCCATCACATTCCTGAAGCAGCCTTTGAAGCTTCTTTTAGTGCCTTCAGGATTTCCTCTGATCTTATGCCTTCCTTGGTATAGACAACAAGGGGGCTCTCCACTGGCACAACATCCTCCCTTTTATAGCTACTCGCCGTCCTGAGCAGCTCTTCGGAACCTCTCTCGACAACCCCCTTCATGATCACCGTCTTGTGAGAGCCCGCAATGAGCTCCTCATGGTCGGTGTCGCCTCGCTCACCAAGGAATATATACATATTCATTACACTCAGACCCCAGCGAACAAATAGATACCTTGAATCAAGAGAACAGCAGGCCTTATGGTTTTGCCACTTAAACTTAGTACCCAGACTATTTGCAAGGAGCCATTTCAGTCCCATAGTTTATAAAAATTTAATTTAGTCTTAAGACTCTTTTAATATGTGTTGAAATAATCCAACTATTTTAGGCCAATTAAACAATTCCGGGGACTAAAACAGCCTCATAAGCCTCATGTAAATAGTCCAGAGAGAAAAACTCCATAAATTTTGAAATATTTCATACCTGAGAGCCTGAGACCGAGACGCCAGAAGAGGAATAACCTGCAGCCGCGTTGAGTTCCTGCAGTACATTAGATGACATCTAAGTCCTCGCATCCGAACTTTCTGACGGAGCTCATCAACTGGTTTGGCCTGAAAGAAAAAATAATAACTATTCATCAAACATCATTACCCCATGGAAACATTGATGTCCTAAAGGCATGCACTTGGTTTTACCTTCTTTGGGTCTTTGATCTGAAAGGATATACAATGATCATTGCTTGCTGTTAAATCCTCAACAACATTTTCAGAAATTTCAGTCTTCTGATTCTCCTGCCCATCTTGAGAATTCATTAACTTCGCCACAGTCCTCTTCACCCCATCATAAGCCCAACGATAATCTATATGTGTTGCGAAATCCTGGTCTGGTTGCATTCTGCCGTCGGAATCCATGCACTGCATCGTCCCCGGGTAGTACACCTCGCTTCCGCTGCTGCAGATTATTGCGTCGAAATCCGTCACTACTATCTTCCCCAATTTCAACAGATTCAATGTCTCTGTAAGTGGCATGGCTGTTGAGATAGCAAATCCGGAAATCCTCGACAACTGGTGATCTGACCTCACCGCACGAAAGACTTCCTGAATAACTTGAACCAGTTTCCTTTCAGGGTCGCCATTTTCGTTGTAGCAGTCAAGAGCAAACACGAACAATCGGCGCCGCCGCCTAAGGAGTGGGTACTTATTTAGAGTATTTCTTGAGGTTGCCCCAGTAGGCTTCGGCTGAGATTCTGGGTGTGCTTGCTTCTTCATCTTGCTCATAATTCTCTTCACTTGATCAGGCAATTCGGCATCAGTGCCATCATCAAGCTCAGGCGAGCCATTAAACGAAATCTTCTCATCGATCGATAGTCGGAGAGAAGATTCATGGACATCATTAAGGGAATCCCATAATGACTCCTCAACATCATCGTCAGGTGCACCTGGCGTGTCAGTCTGCCATTGGGGGTGACGCATACGGCATGCGGCGACACGAGTGAGGTAAGTTCGGCAGTGCTCCGGCCATGAGAATAAGTGGATATTGCGCCAACCATTACGTCTGCATTCAACCCAAAGGTTCTTGTCAGCTACAAGCTTCAGCAGTGCATCAGCAATGGCCTTGTCATCGTGAGGATCGACAAGTAGCCCATTGTTCAAGGCCTGTACAACGAAAAATCAATAATCAAAATTTCTCTCATTTATCTTCTCATTTTACTTAAGAAAGCATGAGTTTTCATATGCATATTTACACGGTGAATGTCAACAGGACCACCATTTTTCGTCGCCACCATTGGAAGGCCATGAGCAGCTGCCTGCAACCAGCTAAAAGTGTTGGGTTCTATCTTAGGGAATTGCTTTCTCTTCGAATAAATTAGCATAAGGCTTAGCAAACCTCAATTAAAGTAAGGCCAAAAGGTTCAACTAGAGCTGGATTTATGAAAACTCCCTGCATGTTAGATGCATCTAGTTTAGAACAAGCTGATTTTTTCAAAGAATAATGATAATTTAAGAATGATGCAAACCTTTGTTTTTGCAGTGAGCCGATAAATATCAGGCACATCAGTCTGGTTGTGGTGCTTCGGGTAAGCAACAAGACCATAGAGATCATACTTATCAATTAATTTCAAGACTAACGTGAGCACACTGGCATTACCAGAGGACATCTCATCAATATCATCCCTGTTTCCCATAATCAATGTCTGCAATGTTAAAATATAAGTCTTCAATTATATCGATGCAAAGCTAATGCGGAAAGAAAAGAAAAAAATGAAAAAAAACCAGAAGAAGAAGGCCTTGAATGGTTTTCTATCTCAAAGCCTACTTTTACAGATTCTTAGGAGAGACTCATTCAACTAAAAACAGCCAGCAATTTAAAAGAATCGCTGAATGTATTTGCTTCTTCAGTTTAAATTACAGATTTCAAGGATACAAGATGAAAAAAATCATAATTTATTTTTTATTCCTTACTAAATTTGCCAGGTCCCTCAGTGGACGAGACTCCCCAAAGGCTTTTATCAAGGTAGTGATATTCTTCTTTGGATCAGGTCTTGAGAGTGCGAGGATCATCGGCTTGTGGGGATTTGTGAAGAACCGCATGATCTATGTAAAAATCAGAGTCAAATTCTTAACAGCTATGAAGAGAGTTTTAAGAAAAAGTAAATGATTCGATGTGACTGGAGCTTACCTCGGACCATATAGGCGGAAAAGTCTTGGGGGAAGCACCATCGGAGCCTATAAGAGCAGCAAGATCTCCATCAGTCTCAGTCTGCTCTTCTTGTACTCCCACATTGCTGAAGTCCATCCCTGGAGGAATTACCTGCAAATTCCCCGGGCATCAAGTTGCTAGAAGAAAATATAAAGATGCAATTTAAATTTTATCAAGCTTCAATTTAATCATAAAGATCAAAATCAACTGTCATGCAGCCATTGTGTGAAGTTTGTAAAAATGATAGCGAACTTACAGCCATCCTCGGCATATATCGTCCATGGCAGTTCACGCCTCTCCGAGCACGAGCTCTGAGCACTTTTTCGAGTTTGACATCAAAGCCGTCATACAATCCCCATTGTTCATCAATCTCTTGCTTTGTGCTTGTGATCACGAGCTCTGCAGCATCCAATGACAGTTCCTCGCCCTCGATCCTCCTCATTATCTTGTATGTAGCATTGATATCGTCCTTTGATTGCCTTCCTTGTTTCAGGAGCTGATCCAATTTATTTCTCCCTAGCGAATGACCAGTGAGTACCATTGGGACATTAAGAGCACCAGAGAGAAGTGCGGCACTATCGCCGGCATCGGCATAGTGACCATGGATCACATAAGGCCACACGGGCTGCCCACCACCAACCTGCTCGCCTAATACCCTCGACATGTTGATGATGTGAGCGAGTGCTCCATCCACAAATTCCTGAATATAAGGCCAGAGAAGCTCCTTCCTGAGATACTTGTCCCTGGGACCGAATGGGATGCGGATAATATATGCTCCAGCACTCTCGCCAAGCTCATTGCCCTCTTCATCACTGGAACCAGTGGTTAGCATCTCTGTAGGTTCCCCATAGCTCCAATCGACATCAGGTGCGGCTATCTGGCGGGTGAAGAGATCCACTCGGTACACTCCGGGAATCATCGATAGTGCTTTGGCAAGCTCTACAACATACTTCACCTGGACGTTATAAGAAGAATTAATCAACCAGAAATTTTATAGGATGCATCAAAGTAATTTGGAAAAATTACGTATACTTTTGGAAGTTAAAAAGGTTATATCACCTGACCACCGGTGTCAGAATCACGTCCGAGCTCCATGTTCTCTCCACGGACGAGCCCATGCAAGCTATTTGAAAAGGACATAAAAAGTTGGTTAAAAAAGCTCAATTTTAACTGAAAGGAGAAAGCAAAGCATGGTACCTGATGAGAACTAGATAAAGCTTCTTCTCCTTGTTTTCTTCAGACCAAAGGTGGATATCAGAGACGTTACTCTGGAACTTCTTCTTTGGCGTCTCATAGTGGATGCTCTCCCCCATAGCGTCCCCTTTCTCTCCTTCTGATAATTCCTCTGACATTTCCTCAGTGGCTTCCCTTCGTCCTTGTTCTCTCTCCCACCTTCGTTTTGTTAACCTTTGGAAATCTTCCCATTCTATCTGTTAATGCGGTCAACTTAGATTCTCATGGATATTACAAAAAATATGAATAAAAAGTTTTAGATTACATTTGAAACCGCAGGAAATAAAAAAAAAATAAACTTCCTTTTATGTTCTTAATTTCTCCACATGCTGCAGGAACATCACCCGTTTAAAAGATAAATATCTGTTTGGCATATAACCAACATATCCATACTGGTTGTAATAAAAAGAATGGAACAAATCCAACTTGGAAGAGAAGTATCATATCTAGACTTCTGGATGATAATGTGCAAAATAGAATAGAACAAATCCTAGGAATAGAATTAGAACTTATAGGTTCCCACAACAAACCCAACCAAATTAGAATAGGTTAAAAGCATGCAGATGTCTAAAGGCAACATGGATTTCAGGTACCTAAGAAGGCCTAAATATGCATAGCTTCAGATTTTGAAAGGATTTCCATCCAGTGAAATTTCAGCATCACATTTAATCTCAAGTGATTTACTGTCATTGCTCTCATTAGTCTGTTTCCACTGGGTTCGCTGCCTTCACAAAAACCAAATCATGAATTATTTTCTCAGTGTTCAGCGAATAAATTTATTGAGAGGGGCAAAATTACCTTCACATCATTGAATCTCACAATAATGAAGTAGAATAAATTTTTTTTTCCTTGTCATATTAAAAAATTTATAATTTTAGGGTGGGCAATTGCCAATCCTAAACTAAAGCTAGCTCCACTTCTGGCAGAGAAGCAACATCCCATATTATCATGATGATTAGGCTGGTTCCCAAAAAATAAAACGTAAGAGAATTTTCTTGGACTATATAGGCTTAGACATATATTGCCTTATTCAACATAGAATAGTCACTCACGATCAGGCTTGAGTTAACTAATATCATTAAGTTCACAGATTTAAGATTTGTTTCGATAAACAGGTCAGAGTTGAATGAATTCTGAAGTTGTGATTGTGTATCCATACTTCATTCAAAAGTGTGAAGCATATTGGTTGTTGATGACTCCTAGATCCTCCTTTAGGCCAATACGACACTTTCTAAAAATATCAGATTTAAAAGGATTCAATGCTAATATCAACATTCTTAAGGCTAAAATAGACAAATTTACTTTAGCACAACCATCAAACTTGATGTAGCATAATCTGCTGTGAACGGATCAGAATCTCCACAATAACCACTCCAAATGTCCAAAGCACCTTCCATTCGCACTATAAATAGGATGTGAAGGCAAGCAACTCATTTATTAATATTTCTTACGAAGAATAGTTGTGTTTTTTTAATGTTCTAAGCTAAGAATTAGGATGCAAGTAGATTCAAAGGGAAATTCCACTCCTTTTTAGTCACTAGACAACTCTATCTATCATAATTGAACTGAGTAAAGGAGGCTTTTGATGGAGGTGAATGCCCACAAGGGAGGCTCTTATCTTTTTTTTCACTGATAATATACAATAAATGAATTCCAAGTAAAAAACCTTTCTTTCTTACGAAGAATATTTGTGTTTTTTTAATGTTCTAAGCTAAGAACTAGGATGCAAGTAGATCCAAAGGGAAATTCCACTCCTTGTTTAGTCATTAGACAACTCTACCCATCATAATTGAACTGACTAAAAGAGGCTTTTGATGCAGGTGAATGCCCACAAGGGAGGCTCTATCTTTTTTTTTCATTGATAATATACAATAAATGCCTTCCAAGTTAAAAGCCTTTCTTCCCAGATCATTTGTCATAAAAAGGTATATTTGACATCCCATAATTTGACATGTTTTTTGTGAGAAAATCTTTTACTTAAATGAAGGTGCTAGCTTTCAGTACGCCACAAGATTATCGGTCTCCATTCGATCTAGTGTCTATAGGATCTTGATGGTGAAAATGGCTCAATTAGATTAGTATCCCATTGGTGGTAGAAGGCTTATTTGAGCAGTGAAAAAGAAAAAAAGAATATTCAGGTGTTAGGCGGATTTAAAATTATTTTTTTAGATTTGAGAAGGATAAGCTTTTTTTTTTTTTTTTGGTGACAATGGGTGATAAGTCGTTAAAAGGAGTGGACGTTTTATATATCTGGAGTCTATTGTTCAAAGTGACGATGATATATATGAGATGTCATTAGTAGAATTCATGTTAGATGGTTAAAGTGGACAAATGCATCGAGTCTATTCTGTGATAGAAAAGTACTGCTCAGACAACAAAAACAACAATAAAAAGAAGCTTTTATCCCACTAAGTGGGTTCGGCTACAAGAATCCTTTTTTTCCACTGCGTCCTATTGAGTGCATTTTTTCATTTAATTCTAATAAATTAAGATCATTTTTTATACAATGTGCCTAAGCCTTTCTAGGCCTACCTTCGTCTTTTTTAACATAAGTTGAATATAAATCATCTACTCTCCTAATCGAATCATCAGATGGTTGACGTTTAATATGACCAAACCATCTAAGACGGCTCTCGCTAATTTTGTCTACCACTGGAGCAACATCAACCCTATCAGAGAAATATTCATTTTGCACTTTGTCTCTAAGTGTAAGGCCACTCATCCACCTAAGCATTCTCATCTCGGCTCATCTCGGCAACATACTCGGCAACATATAACTTAATTTTATGCTTCTCTTTTAAAGACCAACATTCTGCGCAATAGAACATTGTAGGTCTCATCACGATCTTATAAAATTTTCCTTTCATTCTAAGCGGTACTTTTTTATCACACAATAGACCCGAAGCATTCCACTTCCACCAACCAACTCGAATTCTACTAATAACATCTCCATCTATATCACCATCACTATGAATAATAGACCCGAGATATCTAAAACGTTCCCACTTTTTAATAATTTGATCACCCATAGTTACAACTCTATCACTAGAGCTACTACTACTAAAATTACATTCCATGTATTCACTTTTAGTTCTACTCAAACAAAAGCCTTTAGGCTCCAAAGTAGACCTCCATAATTCAAGTTTTATCCGAGCTCTTTCTCTAGTCTTACCCACAAGAAGGATATCATCGGCGAAAAGCACACACCAAGGTACATCCTCCTGTGAATGTCCAATAAGAGCATCCACAACTAAAGCAGAAAAGATATGGGCTTAAAGCTGATCCTTGATGTAATCCAACTGAAGGAGGAAAATACTTGGTCAATCCTCCTGCTCGAACACAAGTAATAGCTCTAGTATACATATCCTAAATGACTTGAATATAAGTCATATCAACACTTTTCTATCTCTCCAAAAGATATCTCTTGGAACTCTCCAAAAGTACTACTTATACTTAAAGAAATCTTATAAGTTGGTGGTGAAACCTACAATGCTTTATGGCACAAAATGTTAGCCTGTAAAAGAAAAGCATGAAATTAATTAGTGCTGCTGAGATGAGAATGCTCAGGTGGATGAGTGACTTTACACTTAGAGACAAAATGTTAAACAAATATGTCCGTTAATGAGTGCGAGTAGCTCAAATATAGCAAACAAGAATAGAGAGTCGCCTTAGATGGCCTTGTCACATTAAAAGCCGACCATCTGATGACCCAGTTAGTAGAGTAGATGTTTTAGATTTAACTTATGTTAAGCAAGGTAAAGGTAGACATAAAAAGACTTGACATGTTGTATAAAAAATGATCTTAATTTATTAGGATTAAATGAAATATGACACTCAATATGAACCAATAGAGAAAAAAGATTCATTTAGTCGTCCCACTTAGTAGGATAAAAGCTTATTATTGTTTTTATAAGCTTTTTTTAAAGGAACTCTTACTTAAAGATTTTGACATGTTAGGAAACTTTTAGGTTTTGGCTCATCACATTGGTTCAAATCTTAATTGTGATCTATTTATGTTGAATACTAGAGCACAAATAATATTCTTAATTGAGAATATTTTTAGATATTAGACATAAGATATAATTAATCATGGAGGCTTGTGCCCATGAGATATTACTACCCATTTAGCTTTAATGACATCATATTTCACTATAGGGAAATCTCTAGGACATTCCTCTTATTTTGACTTCAATTCATCATGACAGATGAACGATGCTATCGATGATAAAATAAAGTGACAAAAAAGAGATATTGTCATTCAAATAAGAACATTAACATACAAGAGATAAGAATAATATTTTTTAAGAACTAAACAAAAACTTCAATAAAAAAATACCATTAAACTTTACTTTTCATTACATACGAAAAATACCTTACATTATTTCAATCCAACATGATAGTTAATGCATTTGACCCTATGTTTATAAGAATTAAATACACATAATTAGAAAATTTGATGGAGGAGAAAGTTCAAAATCTTCATGATATGATTGCATAATTAATAACCACCTTAAGCATCTCGAACTTCCTTTCAAGTACCACAATACATCTCAACACAAGGTGTATTGAGAGAGAAAACGGGAGGGGGGCCAGAGAGTCGGGGGAGGGATATCACATGTTAGTTTCTAGCTTAAAAATTTTTATTACTTATTAAAAAAAATAGATCTCACTAATTATTTTGATGATGAGTTATCTTCCTTAATTGCTCCATCCTTAATTGAAGATACTGATGACTAATTTTGCTATAAAGTAATATTTTTCTCATATCTGCATGATAAAATTAAAGCTATTTAATAAACAAACTAAGTGATAATTACGATGGTAATTAATTTATTCATAAAAATAACAAGAACATAGAATTTTAAAAATGAAAAACTTTCTATAAATTGATGATGATTGCATATTTTGATAAGAAAATGAGAGTGAGATATAAATCATTTTTTCATATTTTAATCTTAATAACGAACCTTCGCCATTATAATGACTCAACTTGCAAGATACTTCAAAAAATTGCTATAAAGATAAATCAGATTTCTACCTCGACCTTAACATGCATCATATTCCAGCACTCTTCAAAAAACTGTTACCCCTTAAAGTTTAAATACATATGGTAGATTGACATAACATTACTAGTATAAGAAATAAAAATAAAAATAAAATAGAAGTAGAAGAAAAAAAGGCACAGCAACTGCACTAA